CTTAAATAAAATCTCGAGTTTAAATTTTATGAATGGAAAAATAAGTTTTCTTCTTATGAGATTTGACAAGACTCGATTTCAAATTAATAAGTATCCAACAACAAACTCCTCGTCCAGTGAATGTTCCCATTCTAGCACTCCATCTTTGAATTTGTTAATGAAGGATTAATGATTTTTTTTTTTAGTCAAAATACATACCCATATACTACAAATGTGGCACCAAATTTGTTGGATAAATACAACACATACATCTGAGTACGATGATTAATAAATGACTAACACAAGATAAGCATATACACTACATAATTAACCAGCATAAACTATACTTAATAAAAAAATCTGTAGAGTAGTTAGTATAACTATTGAAAAAAAAAAAAAAAAAAAGGCGTTTCCTCACCACCATGACTAGAATTCAAATTTTCATTCTCTCTTCTCACCTATCTTCTTCATGATAAATATTTCAATTAGTTAGCATATCTTTAAAAAAAGAAGAAGAAGAAGAAGAAGAAGAAGAAACATAAACTATATTAAGTGCCCGTTTTGTGTGACTGAATATTTTAATAAAAGTTTTGTTGATAAGAAATTGTTACAGAAATGTTGTTTTTGTAAATAAAAAAGATAAAGATAAAATAAAAATAATGTGTTATATTTATTAAAACTTAAATGAGAAACTCCTATAGAAACATCAATTCGGTGCTTTTGAGATTTACAATGAAATGAATAAAATACTAATTTATGAGAAATTATAGTATTTTTTACAAATTATAGTGTTTTAGTGCCGTTGAAGTTTTTGGAATTCAAAAGGGCTTTTCACCGATTGTACCAAACATAATCTAAAACTCTCATATCTTAAAAAAAAAAAGAAGAAGAAGAAGAAGAAGAAAAAACATAAACTATACTAAAACTCTCATCATCATGTGAGAGGTGGCTTCTACACGTTTTTGCCTCTAACCCAAATATATCATGGACAATGTATGATTACTGATAAACTAAAAGTAAATAAATAAATAACATTATTAATTTAGAAATAAAATACTATTTTAAACTCTTTAGTGAGAATAGAACTCTAAATCTAGAAGTCTAAATGTTAGGTTTTGAAAAAAAACTGCTAAGTCATTAAAGGCGTTTTGAAAAAATGATTAGCGTTAGTATGCAATATACTCTAGTAGTAGTAATTGTTTTCTAACTGAGAGGAAGAGAAATTAATCCAGAATAGTGAGCACTGAACACATTCTCCGTGATGGGTCAACCGACAAAGAACTGCTACAGATGTAGTTTTTCAAGGTAAATCCATTATATTCCCAATTTAATTTGGCTTCATTGGGTGTTCAAAGAATCAATGAAGAGACAAAATCTTCCGTCCCCCACCGACCCTGCTTTATTTAAGGTGTTTTAGTTCCCTAATTTACTGATCATAAATCTAAACATCTAAAGCAAGTACCAATGTTTTAATTATTATTTGCAAATCCTTGTTTCTAATGTTTTTTTGGCCTTATTCCTATGTTTCTAGCTATATATGGTCCTGGTAGGCCGTAGCTTGATTTTTTCTAGTGTTTACCGACACAATATTTTTGGATTAATTATATATATATATATATGGATATCAAAATCAATATTTTTTTTAAAGGATCCTAAAAGTGCATCATTCACATTAACTAAATACCATTTAAAAACATTAATTTATTTAGATGTTAACTTTAAGAGTTGAACTCTAAACATGATCTATAAAATCACACATACTTATTTATTATTAAATTCAAGTTTTAGTTTGTCTTGTAGGTTGATGGTTTGTACTCTGTACCCAAATTTGGTGAGCTTTGAGTTCTACTTAGGTAACAACACTCCTGTGAAAAAGAAACGTTGCTCCTCTCAAAAATTTCCATTGCCTAGCTCCTACTAAAAAAATTTCCGTTGTTCAAAAAACAAATGCTCCTAGTTGGTGGGGGTATGATAACTAATTCTTTTGTTAAAATGATTAAAAATTTGTTAAGAATATTAATTTTGTTTAATTTGATTATTAAAAATAATTAATAATTGAAAAAACAACTAATATGTATTATATAACTAATTAAAATTAGTTTATAAATTGATATTTTCATATATTATAATTATCTATTTAAAAAAATTACAAATATCAATTAAATAAATATAATTTTAGTGATCTTAACAATGAATTGGTGGTCATAACTATGTCCTACTACTAAGTGTTACAGATCCTCTATTTGATAATATTTGTCATTTTTTTATACCATATAAAAATATTAAATATTAAAATTATCACCATGATAATCTATAATGTTTTAACAATTTTATCCTCTCAAATTTATTGTTGAAATTAAACATAGAGAAAAATAAAAATCATGATATTTTTATATTTAAAATGTTACGTATGTTATAAAATTATTTGAATATTCTTAATAAAATTTTTTGAGTGATGATTTATTAAGGGCATTTAAATTTTTTTTATTATCATTCATAACATTTTAATTATTAAGAAAAACTAATTTTCTTAATCCCCTGAAAATTGCATCAATTATCTTTTTTGTAAAAAAATACATTTTAAAATTATAAAAAAAGTGTATCAAATTATATTTAATTACACAATATTTATCATTGGAAGAGATAGACCTCCGAATAGTAAACCCTTTCCTATTTAATAATTTATGTTGCTGCGTTTGAATTACGAAACAATAACTTTAAAATTATTAAAAAAATAATTATTTTGAGACAAGAACTTAACCAAAGAGTAATATTAATTGTGAAAGCTGAGCGGCAAGGAGTGTTAATTAGAAAGATGCTTGGTGGTAATTACTTAATAATTTATGATATAAGTTAAAAGTATTTTTTTTTATAGTTTTTATTATTAATTTATATATAAAATTATAAAAATAAATATCAATATCATATAAAATAATTTAATTATATAATAAAATAAATATATTTTTAACATGTATCTTTCCTTAATAATTAAACTAATGAAGAGC